ACCTTCCTTTTGCAAATAAGAAGTTTAATACAGTGTAATCTCTCTAAGATAAGCAATGAAAAGAGAGACACTGAAAAGAAGACAAAAAAAGTCAGAAATACCCAGATTTCATGTGGAGGCTACCTAAGCCATAGTTTCTGTTTTAAATGGCCAAAATCACCACCTTAAAGAGTTTTAAATCATCTTCCAAATACCAGTGTTGGACACACAGACACAATGAATACCAGGAGTTGCAATTATTTCTTACTTTGGCAATCATTAATTTTCTCACTGCTAGATAAAGACAGGACATTACTTGAATGCCTTTGGAATCATGTGTTTATTTTAAATTCTGTATAGGCCCAGTTGCTGGCTTTGGTGGTTATGTTTCCTTCCAAAGACAGAACCTTTTACTCTGGCAATTGCCATGGGGAAAACGAAATCCAGAGTGCTCCACAGTGCCATGCTGCATCTGCCCTGCTCTGAGAAACCAGCCACAGAACTCTAATTCCTTCCCCTCCTGTTAGGAAACACCTCTCAGAAAAGAAACTCCTGAACTTGTACCTAAAGCTCTGGAAACTTGTTTTTTGCTGTGTGGCAATTCTTTAAATCATATATGACATTTGGCTTCAAAATGAGCTGGCTTCTAAAGATTTTTATTGTGGGCTGCACAGGTGGTGTAGCCATTTAAAAGAAAATATTGGCTGTTCTGACTTGTATTTTGATTAAGAAAATGTATGTGCACAAGAACTATTCATTAGACAAACTATAATATAAAAACTTGTTTGAAAAAATCTTTGACTCTATACTTCTAATTGACAGTTACTCAAAGAGTTATAAATTAAGCAGAACTAGGGAATTAAAAAAACCACCCTCACAAACTTTCCTATTTGCAAGCGTTTATCTGAATGTGTCAGGAGTTTTAACTTTAAATAGATAATTTCAGAGGTCTGTGTTGTCCAGACAATAACAAAGGGAGTTAATCAAATATGAATCTTCTCCAACTGTCTTGTCAAACCAGGTAATGATGTCCTGCCAGCCAAACTCAGAGGGAACATGTGAAACAAATACAAAAGTAAACAGGCTCTAAGCTGCCCAAGGGAAAGTCAGCAAGATGGCAATTTCAATCATTTGGAATAATACTAAAGCAGCCTTAGGCTTTTCTCAGAATGGAAACATGTCACTGTTACTGCAATATTTGAACAAATCAGACTGCAAAAGAAAGGAACACTTATGTAATCACAGCCGTGGAACGGCACTTTGCTCGATGGTGAGGTGGAAAATAATTAAGGGAAAATGTCCTTTTGGTGAATAATTATAAATCTACCTAAATAAGAAAGATAAACAATGTTTCCTTAGAAATTTTGAGCGGCAAAAAACCAAATTTAAGCAGAGATTGCTTAAGTCTTGACGCTATGGAACAACAAAGATAAAGCCATGTCAAACAAAAGTATGAAGCTACTGGTCCTACAAAATTTCTCAAATGTTGATAAAAGTTACACTCAGAGCTACAAAGAAAGCAAAAAAGCACTTCAAGAACAACTCCGCTGAACGGCCGCGTTAAGACTAACGGGCTGTCATATCATTTAACTGAGAAATCAAAAAATATTTCAAATATTTGGGGAACTTACCTAATCAGTAAACGTTCAGTATGTGTCTAGTCATGTAGCCATCTTTTAGTCAATCATCAGAAAATCAAAGGCAAATTGGCATGACTCAACCCAAACTTTAATACCGCATGATTGTGTCGTGTAAGCTTGTTTTGTGCGAGGGCTGCTGTGGTTTTAGCAGAGAGATTAACGACCGGACCTAAGCTGGCCTCCAAACCTTGCCCTGCTGATGCCTCAAGCCCTTTGAAGTCTGACCATCATACCTGGCAAAACAACAGTGGGAACTAGGCTGGTGTCAGATCTAATCAAGTTTCCTGCCTCAGCATAGCTAACTATGGGGTACACTAATTGGCCCAATTGCGGATTATACCTTTTGCTACAGATTTGAGACAATAATTTAGTCAAATGATGGTTTTTATCTCCTTCTAATTAAGATTCCAAAGTGGGAAGAAATAGGATTAGACAGTCTAACTTCAAAATTGTGTCCTTTAAAGTGGCATGCACATAAGATAGATCTCTGATTATACTGCATATAGGAGAATATTGGTAGTAACTAACGTGTGAAGATTTGGGAAAGCTTGAAATAGCTACTGCAGCTTTTAGATAAGCATGGAAGTTTTCCTGGAAAGGTTCCTCTTCATAATTTATAAATGGACAATGAGCACTCATAAATATTCATTTAAAAAACATTTTCATCCTGAATTAAAAAAAAAAAATCTCTTTAGAAAACATTTCAGTCAATCTCATTTTGATGAAGAAGACATGAGGAAAACTGGAACAGTTAAAAGATTCCTTAAAAGGCTATAAAAAGGTAGAGTTCCTCCCACAAAACTACAATCTAATAAAATAGATTTGACATTCAAGGCTTTTCACCTATGAGGGCCAAACTATAAGGAATTATTTAACTGGTGAGCAATCCAGAGATGAGAAAATCCATGTCCCATGCTCTTATTTTAAACTCTAAAAAAAAGAATGGACTAGTGAGAAAAATCCTTTTTGAAGAAATTTCACCATAATTCACAGGTTCTATGTTTCTAACTTCTCTTATGCAATTTGATTTTAAAGCAGCATTTCAAGTAGAGGTCAATATTTTTATCCTAAATTGTGTACATAAGTACGTAGAATCTTGCCAAAAACTGTAAGGTACTCAATATGCATTTTCCTTTCATATTTAAACCACACTGAAGAAGCCCTAAACTCGGTTGCACTCTGTATAAGGCACACACTGCTTGCAATGCACACTGTTGTGCTGCTTTTTGCTTCTGCCCCCAGAACCAGCGCTGACTGACTGCTGACACATCACATTCTAACTGCAGAAACCCATTTCAGAAGACCTTATTCACATCCTTTCCTCATTCAGTTTTCCCTTGCTCCCAATTTTTTATTGCTCCAGCCAGCCTTGCTGTAGTCTGCTTTCCCTATCAGCATGAGGAAGAAAAACATATGTATTATAGATTAGTGGGACGTGTACTGGAAGATCACAGTAGGACAGTGATCTAACATGTTCAAAAAGGAATAGTTTGTGTCAGTTCAGCTTACAGAAAGCATATCTCTAACAAAACCTGAAGTTATTCAAAAGGGGCTGCAGCTGAGCAGCAAAGGGAGAAATTATACAATGGGTCATCTACGCATGTCTGGGGCAACAGGTTGTTTCAAGAGTTGTACTTCACTCCTGTTTCCAGTGTCCCATGGCTAATTCAATTCTTTTTTACAGAGCCTCCTGCTAAGGGTTTTCTTTCCTTGCAAATTACATTACAGATTAAAATCTCAAATTTGTCTGGAAGAACAAACTGTATTCTGAGGCAGGACTCGGGGATGAGAAACCACCCAAATACCCTAATTCACAGCTATAATAAATGAGAATGTACTATGCTGTGAAATGAGGGCACACGCTTCTCTACGCCTCTGAAAAGAGAGAACATTTGTATTTCAAAACCAAACACAGACTATCAAGGTTTTGTTTCTACTGTACCTCTCAAAAGCAGTTGTTCAAATGCTTTAATACCTCACAATGCCTGGTTTCACTCACTGCATTCTCTGGGAAGTGACAAACCTTCTAAAGGAATTGTCCTGGGGAAGAAAGCCCTCTTCCATGTATTTGCCTTTAAGTGGCTTCTGAAGAGGATACCTCTAGTTGAGAAACTTCTAGCACTCACGCAGAGATGACCTGCATGAAGAACTGGCTGCCTGATTAACTATTAACTACTCTCAATAGGATTAGATAATTAAAGACATTGATGACCATTAATTAGGAGGAGGGCACCTTAATTTGTCACTTGATAGGGCCCTTTCAATGATTTATAGGTTAGGGCTACTTGCAATTGTGAAGGGGAGGGGGCAGTGAAGAGAGAGAACCCTTAAGTTACCTTATCAAGTGGCCAGCTAAAAAGGGCAGAGGGTCAAATAAGGGCCAAAGTGGTCACTTAAGGGTGAAGTCCCAAACACCAAAGCAGTGCCAAGCCACATTGACCAGCATTTGGTGATGGAGTAAAAAATATGCTAATTTATTGGTGGCAATTCTCTCTTTTTATGGTTTCAAGCAGTTAAGACAAGTGGCCTGCTTAAGAGCTTTTCATTTGAAAAGAGATTAAACAAAATGGTTTGTCAGGGATGCTTGGCTGTTTTATGTCTTTGTTAAAAAAAAAAAAAAATTGCTCAGACTGTACCGATGACTATTGCATCACCCTGAAAGCCATCTTCCATCTCTAAGCATTACTTGGTTAATAAATACATCAGCTCTAATTGCTTAATAGTGCTATGTTCATTTGCTCTTTAGCAAGATTAAAATGAAATACATCTTTTGTATTACTGCCTTCTATCAGGACTGTCTGCATAAAGGTCACAGAAAAAAGTTTAAATTTAGTAGGAAATTTACTTAAGGACATTAGTGTAAATGATACTGTGTTTAAAATGACATAAAAGAGCGAAAGGTGATTTCAGTAATGCAAAGAAAATGGTTTCTGAATACTGATAAGGACACTTATCCCCCATACCACACACAATTTTAGGCAACATTATACATTAAAATCCCTCTACTGGGGTAATAACATGTAGCTACTTTCCCACCCACTAACACAAGTAAGAGCAAGTCATTAACATTTAATTAAATATGCTCCTGACATCCTTAGAAACATGTCATGCTTTGTTATTGAAGGTTGTGGCCTACTTTCTATGTACATTTTAAACCAAAATAAAGTATTTATAGCAGACTGATTTAGTGCAGCAAATGAGACATTTTTAATTAGAGGGCATATTACAGTATTTTATAAACCTGTTCCGAACAGCAAAGCCAGGACAAAATGAATTTACATCCTCTGATGCATATTTTATGTATTTCGACAAAACGAAACATAAGAGATGGGATTAGCTCCACCTTTTGGGTTCTAAATAGTGAAACAACGTTTCTCTTACCTCGATGGTGAACTGCTTCCTTTTTAATCTAAAAGCAAGGTCCTTCGTGTCTGACACATCACAGATCAAGCTATTAAGCCGAGGAATCTGATGTACGTGAACCAAACCTTGTGGAAAGAAAGAGTAAAGGAGGGGGGGGAAAAAAAAATTAAGAAAACGCTGTCATCCAGATGCATAAATTAGAGTCTTACAGCAGAATTCTGTATATTTACACTCACTCATCCTCCCCTTTTTAAACTGGAGCTTACTACCAGGAGCAATGAAGCAAACGGCGTGATTATGCTCAAGTAATCAAGCAGAATAAGATAAACAGAAATCCTTGTGCGAGGAAAACTAATTGCACTTTGGTACAGGAGTACAGATGTAAAGAGCCATCTTAATACTTGTCAAAACTACAGCCGGTTTGTGTGTGATTTTCTCTTGTATTTACAGTAAGCAAATATGGCTATCACCTTGCACGCTGCCCACGGCACCACGGAGTGATCTTTATTTTATTAAATGCACCAGTAAGCAGCCAGCAAAACAAGGCTTATGGGTTACTGATAACCACTGAAGCTCTAATGAGAACTCCTTCCTTCTGTGCCCTGAAAAAAAGTTTCTGGGGAATCCCGGTTTAGGTGATGCTTTTTAATAATTTTTAACCCCCGTGCCACCCCAGTAGAAATCAGTTTTCCTCCTGCAGGAGGCTTCTGTAGCTGTTCAGATGTTTTTAACAGTACTAGGTGCACTGCAAGCTCTGCGTTCTGTCAGCTGCAGCTCAAGCTGATTTTTTCTGACAAGGACGCTGGATGGTTTTTGTGCAGCCTAATATAGTCTCTGAACAACCTAAGGGTGATTTTCTACATCTGAAAACCAGGAAAATTCTACAGGGCTTCTCAATTACTGGCCTATATTTGCTATCCATAAAGCCAGCACCTAAATGGAAATACTGAACATTCAGAGAAGGTATCTGACTTCAAAACGGCAGCAGTGAGAAAATCCCCAAACATTAAACCCTTTATTTAAAATAAGGCAAGTACTTTTTCAGGCATTTATTTATTTCTTTGAAAGGAAATTTCCTAAAATTGAAATACTTTAGAAAGCATCATTTTTATGGACACTAATCACTAAAATTCTCAATAATATTAGGAAAGTGTTATTACAGTTTTAAACCTTCAATCCTTGCCTCCTGTCCAGTGAACTAGAAGAACTATTTGTTAGGTTTTTGAGTACAAAATCAAATTATTACATATAGGAACAGCAGGTATAACACAGGGCTGCTTATATACAGTATCCCAAAAATTTTTATTTAGGGGTCATCTATAGAATTCTTTTGTTATTTTGTGGCTTTTCAAACATTTAAATTTGCAGGCAGCTTAATAAAATTATTAAGGATGATTCATTAAATAATGCAATAATGTAATCAAATTTCTCCAGAGTAATATCAAAATATTTCATCATCTGCAGTAAATAAATAACTTAAAATACTTTCTTAGGCAAAAAAAAAAAAATCCACAAAGTTAAAGCCATTAAATATACCTCTTTTTAGACTGTCAAATTATGGCTGTGCAAATCTCAAAAGCTATGTATATTGGCACATAATTTGTATTAAATAGCACCAGAAATGACTTAGCATACATTTTTAGAGGAAACCAGGAAATAACTACTAAAACACACATTGTCTTAAAGGATCTCTTCAGTAATGAAAAAATGAGTATTAAATTGACAGAATTATGTTAGCATAAACAAAGGCCATATCATGATTATACAGTTGGAAAAATAATTAGGCGAATTATTCCAGCTTTTGTTCACGGTTTCTTTTTCATTCACCTTTTTTTTCAGATAATGAAATGTGCACCACTTTCACAGTCAGAAAGATTTTTCTCTGATTTATTAATTACAGCTTGCATACACACAGTGGTGTCTCAACACCATCTTTGCTTTTTTTCTGTATAATCCATGCATTCTGCTAGGGAAAACACTGCCACTGTCATGTGTTTACAGCAGATTTCAGATAAGCAGTTTACTTTCAGCTAAAGGTTTCCATGGAACTACAGGAATATCACAATAATAAGCGCTGTAATTTATGCACAGTCTGAGCCCTGCTCTGGATCAGCTAAAATTGTTATTCACTGCTTTGGCTGGGCACAACTTCTAATACCATTTTTAAAATTTAAATAGTTCTGCTGCAACAGCTGACAAAAATCTTTGGGAGACAAAATGCAAGATTAAGCACCGTTACCCATTTTGAAGATAAAACACTTGGAAGGCTTTTTTGAGTGCTTATCAAAAATGACTTTTTACCAAAATCATATTTTACATGCCACACACACCCACATTCATTTCCTTAAATGTGCAAGTGCTGTAACCTACAGCTGACAAAACAGAGCATTATTTTTTAGACAAAGTCTACCCAGCACATAATTCAGCAGCTTATTCACCTCACTACAATATATGTTTTCCCGTGTTCTCAATTTAAAACTTGGCAGATCAGAAAGTATTGATTTCATGACAAGTTCAGCTCGCTGGTCAGATGATTGCCAAGCCTGCCCTGCATGTGAATTCCCCAAAGCCTGCCTGGTGAGATGTACATCTGATTGAGCCCTGCCCCAGTAATGCAGCTTGACAACATGCAAGGAGTTGCCATGTTTCCTTTGCAGCCTTAATGCACTTTGCTGAAAATTTCCCTAACTCAAGGCTGCTTAGGCAGGGAAAAACATTTAAGAGGTATAATTCCAAAATGAAATCAAATGCTACTTTAGAGCAGATACCCAACTGGAGGGTGAGCTGCTAAGTGCCCTAGAAACACCCAGGGCAGACTTTTTGCTTTGCTGAAGATGGAACTCACCGTGGTAATCCTTGTACAATGGATTGGTTTCTCTCTCAGAGCCAATAAATGATTCAAGACCAACCACCATATCTGACAAGTTTGCTACACGTTCCATAATTGCTTTATTCTGTAAGACATGGAAACAAAATACACATCCTATGTGATGAAAAAGGTAATTAGTGTTCATAGAGCAAGCCTTGGTCTTCTCAATGACAAACTGTGGGGGGAAAATAGGTCATCAATACTCGGAAATTATGTTAGAAGGCTTTTTTCTTAAAAAAACATAAAATAGACTTCAAGTGTCTGTCTAAAGAAAACAAATATTTGACAAGGATAAACCACGAAAGGGCTCACTTAGCACTAAATTAACATTACCCTAAATCTTCACAACAAGCATTTGCTCACATCAGCAATATTTACAAGCCATGTGTTAAGCTTATCTCTCATTGATTTCTACTACAAGTCTGATGCCCAGTTTTTGTTTGGGTTCTGAAACCCTTGGTTTTTAATACACTTAGGCAAACCATCTCTAATATTTTGAGTAAGCAGAACCCACACAATTATTCATTTTGATTATCAGTGGAACATGGAAAACTCAATGCTAATTTCTTAGCATTTTTCCCTCTAAAAGTTTCTCTCTGCACAACATATGACTCTAAAGCTTCAAGGAGCATTACCATTTCTCAATATACTTGTGATTTTTAAGTGCTGCCTTCTGTCTTGTTCTACAATGTACTGTCACATGCCTTAAATAAGCTCTTTTCCACGTGGTTTTCTTTACTCAATTTTATATAGCAGAAAGAGACATACAAAGGTCACAACAGAGATCTTCAGAGGTAAGTCAGAAAAAATGTTCTTAAATGCCTTGATGATGTTGGTATTTAATGAAGAAAACAAAACAGAAACACATTTGTGGTAAAAATCAAAATATTTCTTGAAGATAAGAAATAGTTACCTTAAAGGTACTTGGACAGCCAGTGTAATACTCTTGCTCTTGGTGCTTGTAGGTGCTACATTTACCAAACCTTCAGGGGTATCAAAACCAATCACCTGAGAATACCCGTTCCAATTGTAAGGAATTAGCTCTGCAGCTCCAGGTTATAGTTTCATATTTTTTATTAATTTTCAAGTGGTTTGTACATTTTGCACTTCTTTCAAAAACTATATGACTGATGCTTATTCTGAAAGGTCTATTTAAATACTGGTAAACAATTCCATAATAGCAATTTATCAATTAGGAGTAGGGAGACTAAAACATCCCTGGACATGTTAGAATAGTCCAGGCATTATACTGACATTCAGGTTTATTAAAATGGTGATCAACATCCCAACAGCTTCCATGAACCCACATTTCAATAACCATTATTTTCTAGACACAGAGAAGCTTACAAAGCAGACACCAGAGGTGAAAATCTCTTGCTCCTGTCAAAGGATAAACTGAATTCTGTTTTCTGACCTCTACATGAAGTTGTGGCCTGTCTGGAACAGCCCAATCGGCTCAGGTTACCAACCCTAAATCCACAGATCCCATGGTACCTCCACACCCCCTCCCTTCCCCACCTTCTGGGCCAGATGGCATCAAATCCTGGGGAGGGGTCTCTTTTCAAAGCCTCTTGTGCACAGGCCAAGAGCATCCATCCCCGTGGAATCAGGGAACTTCCATTTCACCCACAAATCTAACCATGGGTAATAAAATAAATAAAGTGGTGTCGTGCTGCAGAATTTCCCTTCTGAGGAATAACATAAGTGATGTGAGGTAAAAGGACACTGCTCACACACCAATCCCTGCACTTTGCTCTTGTGCCTGCCCCTGAAATCGTAAAGCTGGCTTGCAAATAATTTCCTCCTCTAGGAAGAGAGAGACAATGTATTATATTCTAATGGAATCTTTTGGTCACATTATTCTACAGGGGCAATCACATAAAGATGGTATAAATCCAAATCTAAAGTAGTCAGTGACCTCTATAATCCCACAGACCAGAAATTGCCATATTTTGTCAGTTCTTCAGAAGGCTGCTGGATGCTATTTGTGTAAGTAAAAAACACAAAACTTTTATATAAATAAGTAGACACTGATGATTCCTGGAAACAAAGCTAAACTCCTGATACAGAAAAAATATCCTATCCCTTTGAAAAAAACATTTGCTGTCCTTTGGTGTTTTTCCTTGCCAGTTTTGATAACAATGGGTTACAAAAACTGTGGAAAGAAAGGTGCTCAACCATCAGCAACATATCCCCATCACATAAAGTCCTGCCAATCATAAGAATAGCAAGCTTCTATTTGGTTTTAATTCAAAATGAAGATTCAAGTGAGGGACGGCACCTCAATATTTGCCTGATATGTTGGGTTTTAGCTCCTCCTCTGAAAGGGTTTGCTTTCTTAAATGGTGCTCTCTTTGCCCACGTTGATTTTGTTTTTGTTTTTGAAGTGTGTCAAAATATTCCCCTGGCTTAATGCAGTGTATCTTGGGAAATATTTTACACAGTGAATGGCCACACCAAAGAGACATTTGCTTATGTGGCATTGTTGCCATAGATCTGTATCTATCATGTATTTTCTAGTTTGCAGTGTTCAGCACATTAATGCCCAATCAAAGCTGACGTCAGCACACGGATAGTTGTGATGTATGGCACACTGACATAAACACACAAATCATGTTGCCCCATCTGGGCTGGAAAATTTAACAGAGCTCCAGATCTTCCTCCAGCCCCATACAAATATACCTCCTGCTTCTGGCATAAACTTGGCAGCTCTGGAGGGGAGCCAGGACATGGTTAGGAGGGAAGCCAGGAATGGTGAGATTCAGGGAAAGAGTTTGTTGGCAGCTAGAAGAGGTATTGTTTTATATTATACTAAAAATGAAAAAAACAAACAAACCAAAAAACCCACCCAAAAACCAATCTTGGAAAGTTTTCAGTCTTGCTAGATGTACCGCAGTTTTTCTAAATTAGTTAGTTCAGCCAAAATATAATTATTCTAACAACATGGTATCAATCCTGTTGTGCTGGCAGGGCTGGGCATCCATTCTATATCTTACTTTGTGCTACTGTTTGAGACAGACATTTTCTTTTAAGTGCAAACTTGCAATATTTGGGTTCAACCAAAGTGTACTTTCAAAACATGTCAAGAAAATCCACGTAGCGAGCTGGCTGTGGAAATGGGAACTGCACACGTGCTAAGGCAGCTTTGGGGAAGGGCAGCTATGGAAAAAGATTGCTTTGTCTTCCCAATTTATTTTCAGAAGGTACAGAGCTTTGAGTAATTATTTGTGCACGTTTACAAATATTTATTTACAACAAAAGCCGTTTAAAATGTCGTGTTCTGTGTTTGAGTATAAAGCATGGGGCTCCACCAACAAAGTCATGCAAAGCCTGTATGCTCAAATTTGCCCACTGAAATTAATATTGTGTGTTTCTACTGGATTGAGTTCTTAATGTAGCACAATTTTAGCATTACTATTAATCAAATCAATCTTGGTTCATCTGGATTCTGTATTAGGAAACAAATCTGTCTTTTCTCCTCTGCTCTAATTTCTAGTTCTCCTCTGATCTCCTGTCAAAATTTTTCTAACACCCAAAATCTGTCCTCTCGTTTTGTCAGTTGCTAAAAAATTAAAAATGTCACAAAATTTCTGTAATGAAAATGTTTAATCTCTCAGTCCTTGCACTGCATAAGGAAAGTCAGAGAATGGAAATTTTTCTTAGGATAGGCTCAACTTTTGTACATAGTACATATAAACAATCTCAAAATCTAAAAGGAAAATAAGACACTCATGTTAAAGATCTACAATGAGATACAATTGCCACTTATATAAATATTTGAATAACATGGATTTTTGAATATATTTGCATTTTTATTCGCATTAGTACAGTAACATAATTTTAATATAGACTTACATATTGCATTGAAAATAAGGTATTTTAAGAGCACATCTCTTTTCAAAGAGACATTAGGCCTATATTTTGGTAGAGGGCTACTTCTGTATCTTTACAATCTGGTAATAAAATCCCATCACTGGTTTTATTTTAAATAATTTAATTAAGAATTAATACATTGAATCCTATTTCAATTTCATCACCTAAAACACTACTTAAAACATTCTTTTGTACTGGGACAAAACCCAGTTTAAGTATTTAGTATGACAGCAAAGTATCCAAGGAGCAATTCAGATACTTCCCCCAAGTCCAGGTAAAATTGTAATTGGGGGCAACAATCTCTGCTGTTACCAACAGGTGAATCCAGAAATCCTGATACTTCATTTGAAAAAAGGTCTCAATAATAAACACCAAGAAAGTTAATGCAAAATAATATGAATCTTATGAAATGAAAGCAAATTTTGGTGTGTTAATTCTCAAGAAAAGCTATTTTTTTTTTTAAATTCTGTTACATTCTGTCATAAAGTTGAAGTAAGCTTAGCACCATAATGGAGACAACCACACTGAACTAAAAAGAAACAGTGGTTGGATATCCGATAAATGAAATAATCCGTGATCTTTTTGAGATTATTACACAATGATGTGGCAATGACTTACACAATACACAAATATTTACCACTTGTCATTACTACTTCATCTCCAAAGGATTTTACATTGGCAATATAAATTACTAAGAAACAAGGCTTAAATATTTTTGACCATTTTTTAATAATTACTGCTCAAGAAATTTCAGAATTACCCATATACCTTTTTTTGGTAAAAGAAGTTAGGTAACAACCCCTTATATTAGTTTTTATAGTTTGGGCACATGTTATTATTATTCACAAATAATAATAGGGTAATGGTAAGATTCAATGTATTAATGTAGTATTATTACTCACAAATACCCAAAATAAATGTTTAACAACTGCTCTGCCAAAAAGTGTTATTTGATAATTAATAAACACTGTAAAGTGTAAAATTCTCTAAGTCTTCTAACTCCAAACTGATCAGCACTGTTTACAGTGTTTGCACACAGCAAATCTGCCAACGGAATGTTGAATTCTGGATCTAAAATAAATGTACACCCAGGCCACGGGAATATAAGATGACCATTAACAAATTTTGGTGTGTAGAGATCTCGGCCAATCTCACAAGAAAACAAAACAAAACAAAACAAAACAAACAAACAAAAAAAACCAAAACAAGTGC